CCCCCCCACCCCTTTCTGTTCCCCGGGCTTTCCTCCCGAGCCCTTGGGACTACATGATGTATGATTGGGCAGCAGGGGTACGGAATGGGCACCGTGACATATAAGGGTAATTGTTTTCGAGTATGAGCTAAGCATACCATCGTTCGAATTGGCGTTCTTCATAAATGGCTTGTTTTCCTTTCCCCCTTCCTCCTTTTTGTCTTTCTGATGAGTTAAGAATGGAGAAAGAATGCTTCGACCTGTGGCATCCTGATTGATGTGTCCCTTTGAAGTGCCTCTTTGAATCGCATCAATGTCGTAACGGCTATCTGCATAATGATTGCTCTGTCGCTCGGCTTGCCTATCTGAATGACATTGCTCTATTTGAGTTTAATGAACCGTTGATCGCATCCTTGTCATGCTTATTATGCATCAGCAGTTTAATTCTTCGAAGTATCCTCTTTCCCTCGTTCATTTGTTTCATATTCTTTCATTTCTTTCATTTCATTGTTTTCATTTCATTTCTTTGTAATTTTTCCGGATTAAGTTGTATGATCGGTGCCCTCGTGAATGGCGAAGCACCTCCACCCCCTGCGTCACTTAAATCGCCGCTTACGCAGGATCAGCCTACTTCGCCCAATAAAACGGCCTATGATTACCTTTACAAATCGGACATACCGAGTGGTCCTACGCCGCCGCTGTTGTTTCGCCTCCCGCGTCTTGCTTAAATTGCTCACAGTGTGCCGACGATTGCTTAGTCGGAGTTGCACGGGCATGACGTGTCGTGTTCGTGCACAGTACATGTGGCACACACATGCTACACACACACACACACACACACACACACACACACACACACAGAAAAAAAAAGAGAGCGGCAGCGGGAGAAGGGGGGGGGAGTGGGCGGGAGTGGGAGTGGGAGCGGAAACGCGCACGAGCGGGCAGCAGCTATGTATCCCCTGCGGTCATAACCGCCGGGTCCAACTCGCCCAACAGTCGGGAACCCGATTGTGGGACTTGGCTGCGGGCAGTCTGGGGCGGCCGACAATTTGTCATATATATATTTTTGTAAATAAATAGCCCAAAAAAATAAACAGTTATGGGGTTGTAGGGTTTCAAAAGTCGTACGTCCCCATTTTTTGTTTTTTGGATTTAAACGTAAAACCTCTTCACCCTATCTTCAAATGAGGTCTCACAGCTCATGATTGAAGAGAAAGTGGAGGAAACACCAACAAAGAATACCTCACATTTCTGCCCATTGCTGAATCATTATGGCACTCCACTGCTACGATGCAAAGTAGACCCCACAGCTTCAGGATGGAGATATGTCATCAAGGAACAACCAGTCGTCAAAATTCTGGGATACAGACTTAAGTCCAGAGCCAACGAGCTTATTTTGAAAACCAAGGAATCCTGGGATAAATCTCAGCAAACGCTAGACCTTCCCAGCGCAAGTTTCACTTGGATACAAGACTTGGGAAAAAAACTCAAGAAATTCCCAATAGTAAAGTTTGCCAGTCTGGAATGGCTATCTGTTTTTCAGAGTATCCAAACAGGTAAATGGTGTGTGATTAAGCGAATGGATGTGAAATCTCTCCTGTGCCCACTCTGTAGAGGTACAGATAGAAGACACCCATCACCTATGGTGGTCCTGCCCCAAGGCTCAGAAACTCTGGTCTTGGTGGCAGAGTATTTGGACCCAGGTTGAGACAATAGTCTTCCATAGCAAACAATCGTGTAGTGTCAAACAGGCGAACGAGAGAAAGAGAGAGAGAGAGGAAAGGGGAGAGAGAGAGAGAAGGGGGCAAGAAGGAAAAGAGGCAGACAAAGACAAGACACAGACCTTTCCCGAAATGTGACCAATGGCATCAGGCCGAAAGAATATGATTCAAAACACCGCCAAGTACATCGAAAGATAAACGTGAAATGTTGGCGCAGCGACCCTACGCTGCGTTTCATCCGGTCGCCAATACTGGAGTCATCAGGGGTCTTGTTGACGTCGCTAGGAAAAAGGGACACTACACGGCTGCAAGGCTGGGGCCCTGTACTAGTGGTTTAAAACACTAGTACCATTGTCGTTTCCGAAAATAGCGGGCCTGTCGTTTTGGAAAATAGGAAAAAGTTTCGGCCCCAGCCTTGCAGTCCGAAACTTGTTGACGTCGCTAGGAAAAAGGGACCCAGGCCTATGCACACACAACCGGGGACAGGAAATGGGACAAGAAACTGATCCTGGGAGGCATAGACATGTCCCTCCCCAGGGCAGTCTACATCACCAGACTACTAGGCATGTGGTTCCTCTGGCTGGAAACTGAAGGAACAGAGACTCAGTGCGATTTTCAGGAGAAGGATACTCCCTGCACAGGATCCAAAGGAGCATGATGAGGGGCCTGATGGAAGTTATCCAAGCAGATCGGAGGAGAATCTCTCAGTCCAAGATACCTGACGAAAAGAAAAAAGAAAGTTTTCAAAGTATCTGGACAAAGGGCTACTGCTGGGCTATCCCAGA